GAGACAGTTGTAAGCACTGTGTAACTGCCTCGAGGGTGCTTGACCATTATAAGACAACGTGGTACGATCATCCCCCTTGCGCGGAGTGAGGGTCCTCGACCTCGCACAACATGATCTACTCGGCCACCATTAATTATGGTTACAGCCAAAAAAAAAACAGAGGTAAAAAAAAAAACGGTAACCTGGTTGCAGAGTTCACGAAGTGAATTGGCTTGTTTTACAACGTCGTTGCCAAGCGACGAAAACCCAATCCCGATGGCAAACGCCGGACGGGGTGTGAGGGGAACGGGGGGTCTATTTTTGTGAATACCCCTGGGGGTGATGTACCCCGGGGGGGAATGGATTTCTTTCCGAAATATTCTTGCGTGTAAGACTATTAATACATCTCATCATCGTATCATCATTGGTACACAACAAAACCTTTTTTCAATATTTCGGGGTTCCGGCTGTGACTTGACACAATAAATATTTTCAGACCGATCCAGACGACGAAATCGATATCATCCCCAGCGACAACGAACCGTCTCTCGTTCGTTGCCATTAGGACACCATGATACGCTCGCCGTGCCAAACAAAATGCAATTGACCGGTGGGTACCGTCCCAAGACGGTAGAATGCATGTACGGCACGGAATGTATGTACAGTAGCCTAAGGGGTTGATCTCGTCGCGACCCAGGATTGGACGGATTCTTGCGCACGCCGTGAGGACTTGACTTTGATTTTGGTGCGCACCGTAGTTGGGAGCAGGGTATCCAGCAAGCAAGACGCTGTTCTTGGTCATGAACATATGGGTCTCTGGGAAGTCCTCCTGGTCACCTTTCTCCATCGCGCTACCACCAAGAGTGGTGGCAGTCGAACCAAGACTGTCGGCCACTGATTTTTGGGCGACCGTTGGGTAGCCCAGGCAACCCTGCGCACGGAAAAACAAGCCGTCAGACTAGTAGCTTGAAGGCAGCTGGACGCAATAATGCACGATGGGTACACGTAGCAATAGCCGTGTCGAGTACTTCCGTGACTCCAGGACACAGCAGCATCGTTGCGAAACATTCATTGCCGTAAACTCGCTCGCTGGGGCAGAACAAATGCATGACAAATGAACGTCCACAGCCAACCGCAGGCAGAAGTACGTAATACTCCTGTGTGCGGCAACGTCTACAGTGGCCGCAACATACCATCAGCAACAACACCTGAAGCATCATGGGCGCACGTGCTTCGCACATGCTTGGGGAAGAAACAAAGACATGCGTAGATCTCTGTTTGCGTCGGCGGCAAGAAACTCAACTTCAGGGAAGCGGCCGAATGCGTATGTAGCATGCATTAATGCGCACTTTATGCGCCTACTGCAAGATATAAATGCAGTTTGTGCGACAGGGCAGTACAAAATCGAGCGTCGAGTGTTGCATGCAATCCGCTTGGTCATGTTAAAGCAAACGTGCAGAGGCGAGGTACCGTACATGTCCAGCTACTGTAGTGCCATACATCTACCCGCATGTCTAGTCTATAGCTGTGTCTTCTGCGCAACCAAGCCCTTAGTCTCCTCACTCGTCGGCGAGGCGCCCCAGCTAGGAAGATTGTCGGGTCCATCGATGGCGATGATGAGATGAGAACGGCCTGCCAGGAGGCTCACTTAGCTCGGACCCATGCGGAAAGCTACTGGTTGTGTGCCATGGAAGAACTTGGAACAATGTCAACGAGAATCAACCGCATGATGTGTCGTGTGTACAGACTCGAACAGGACGGAGAAGTCGTAGCGAGAGAAGAGAAGGGAGAGCGTTTCACCGGTCGGTGTCGGTGCCTGCCTACTCACTGCAAAACCCCAAGACTCAAAGATCGTGTATGCACTTTAGGACCCTGTCATTTTGTTGTGTGAAGGGTTGAGGATGTTGTGTGACACGAAGTTCGAGTCCTAGACTACCGTCCGACTGAAAGGGAAAACTTGAGCACCGACTGGCTGAGAGCAAGAACATTCGACAGAAAATAAATATAGCTGAGACTTGAGTCAGTGGGGGCCCCGGTTTAGCGACCCCCTGTTCAGCGACATGCCCTCTTTCGCGACGCCCAAATCTCGTGACACCGCTGCACCCCGGTCTAGTGGTCGCTAGCTAAACCGGTCGAAGCTTCAATAGCGACTTATTGGACTGTTTTCTTCAGGCCATAGCGACCATCGCTTCAATTTTTGCGGAGACCCCGCGTTCCTCCACACCCAAAGACACAACATCGCGGGACACGTCATACACACGCAACATGCCGTGCGCCGATGGGAGAGTTGTGCATACAGCCGGATGTTGCACTGCGGGCACCCCAGAGGCATGTGTGCCATGGTGGCTGCGGTAGACGCCTGCACCGAATGTGTGAGGAGGTGGAGCATCGATCGATGCACCACACCTGCCACGAGCGTGTAGACTATCCACGAACATGCAGGCTTCCCCACCCGTCTAGAATCAACAACCCAAACGCAAAGAGAGATAGAGGTAGATGGAGAGATGGCGGTGTGGGGGTGGGGAAGTGATGGCACCGCCGCCCTACTTGGAGCTTTCGTCCCATTTTGGATCGCCAGAAGAGTGCGCGGAGTCGTATGGGGTAAGCGAGGCAGCGTACTAGACTAACATGTTCAAGGCAAAGTTGTTGTTCATCAAGCACACTACTTCGCGAAACCAGCGCGACTGACGGACATAGTCTGCCCCCTCGGTGTTTGCCATCGGGATTGGGTTTTCGTCGCTTGGCAACGACGTTGTAAAACAAGCCAATTCACTTCGTGAACTCGGCAACCAGGTTACCGTTTGTTTTTTTTTACCTCCGTTTGTTTTTTTTTGCGGTAACCATAATGGTGGTCGAGTGGATCATGTTGTGCGGGGTCGAGGACCCTCACTCCGCGCAAGGGGGATGATCGCACCACGTTGTGTTAAATTGGTCAAGCACCCTCGAGGCAGTTACACAGTGCAAACTGTCTCTGGAAGTGAACACCAGAAAATATATTAAGTCATACGCAGCTGTCGTCCAAATGCAAGGAAGTAGACGAAGCACAAGATGCCGAACACCCTTAGCAGGATGCAGCGCACCCTTCATGCGACTC